ATAGATCAATATAAAATCGAATCCATAAACATACATAATGGAATGCATTAATTGCCAAATACTAGAATTACATTTAAATTAAAGTGCAATAACTTCAAAAAGTCGGTCAACAGCCCATGCCATGACCAATTAATTCCCCTTCTTTTACTGTATATGTATATTCTAAGCTGGAAATCTCATAATTCTAGAATGAAATAACAAGATAAATATACAATCAGTACAATAGGGTGCCAGAAAATAGTCTATAAATGTAGCTATAAAATACCATAACCAGAACAACTGTAACAAACAAAACGGTAATAATATCAATAACAATAGTACATGCTTTAATTAAATAGACTGAACTGTTACAACTTCTCATAAATCAAGTCAAAGAGAAGATGGGTAGACTAGTAGAGTATATACTGTTACTTCTATCAGTTGTACTAGTAGTATCTACATTGACTGGATCTACTAACAATTACTACAATGGTAAGATACTGACTACTATACTAATGGATAATATACCTGTTTCAATTATATATGTATATACTATCAACAACAAGGACCTACTAAAGTCACAGATTGTTGTAAGTTCAGTATAAAATACACTATTGATTTATTTTAATACTATTAAGCTGTTACTAAGAAATTTGCTGAATTCACTAATGCATCACTAACTCCTAATCCAATGACTCGTGGAAAGGCATATTATGTGAAAGGAACTTTTCATATTAGTAAGCTATATATTAACTAGTACTGTAAATATTTTTCTAGAGAAAACCATACAATGGGGTATTGTACACATCATAATGACATATAATTTCAAGGATTATACCAATATTACTTTCATTGATGACAAATTTAATTTCTGTGACTTCTTTCTCGCTTTGACCAAGTTTCGTTGTCCAATAACTCCAGGAATATATCAATTGAATTATACATGTAATGGTAATGAAGCAGTACCAAAGCTCTTTTGGCGAGTGAGTAACAGATACAGTGTATCATTATTACTATTCTATTTCATAGGGTAGGTATTATGCCAAAGCAGCTGCATATAATGAGAATGGAGAAAAAATTATGTGTCAAAAGGCAGAAGTTACTATTAACTAAACTGCATGTATTCTAATATGACTTGAATACAATTACTAATATCATTAAATTAATGCCAAGAGTGCACTAATACTTAGACTGAAAACAAGCAAAAGTTATGTTACCGTGTCAAACTGCCAACCTACATGCATAATACTAGTGTTGCTTTAGTTAACTATAACTAAAACTAAAACCCTTTTTGTTAGGTCAGATTTACTTTTAGTTAACTAACTATAACTAACTAAATGTACCTAAAGATTAAAACTAAAAACAATAACATGCAGGCGTGTATATGTGTGTACTATTGCATATGCATGCACACAGACCATAATGTAAATTTAATATGCACATCTAAATGTAGATCAATATAAAATCAAATCCACAAACACACACAATAGAATGCACTGCCAGTTACATTTAGCTAGAATTACATTTATGTGTCAACAGACCATGCTATGACCAATTAATTCCCTTCTTTTATTGTATATTTTAAGCTTTGAAATCTCATAATTCTGGAATAAAATAACCAGATAAATACACAATCAATACATTAGGGTACCAAAAATAGTCTAGACTAGCATAAACAGAACAACTGTAATAAACAAAACAGTAATAATACTAATACAATAGTTGCAACAGTTACAGCATCCAATTAATCAAGTCAAAGAGAAGATGGGTAGACTAGTAGAGTATATACTGTTACTTCTATCAGTTGTACTAGTATACTATCTACATTGACTGGAAATTGAATATGCATGACCAGTTGGAGTGTGATATGTTAAATCACTAAACACAATCACATACAATACTGGTATATCATAATAAGAACCAGTGCATCATAATGAAAGGTAAACTCATCAAAGTAACTTGAGTTTGCAATTGGACTAAAACAGAAGGTTATACAGTGAGGCACCAGTAGCACAGTCAAAGAGAAGATGGGTAGACTAGTAGAGTATATACTGTTACTTCTATCAGTTGTACTAGTAGTATCTACATTGACTGGATCTACTAACAATTACTACAATGGTAAAATACTGACTACTATACTAATGGATAATATACCTGTTTGAATTATATATACTATCAACAACAAGAACCTACTGGTAATAAAAAATTCACAGATTGTTGTAAGTTCAGTAATACACTATTGATCCATTTTATTAATTTTAAGCTGTTACTAAGAAATTTGTTGAATTGACTAATGCATCATTAACTCCAAATCCAGTGACTCGTGGAAAGGCATATCATATGCAAGGAAATTTAGATATCAGTAAGTTCCATATTCACTAGTGCTATAAATCTTTTTCTAGAGAAAACTATACAATGGGGTATACTGCATATCAAATTGACATATAATTTCAAGAAGTATACTAATATTACTTTCGTCAATGAGAAGTTCAATTTATGCGACTACCTTGATGATTTATTAAATATATTGTGTCCAGTACCACCAGGAATATATCATTTCAATTATAGTAATATAGTACCAAAGCTCTTTTGGCCAGTGAGTAACAGATACAGGGTATCATTATTACTATTCTATTTCATAGGGTAGGTATTATGGAAAAGCTACTGCATACAATGAGGAAGGAGAGGAAATGATGTGCCAAATGACAGAAGTTACTATAAACTAAACTGCATGTATTCTAATATGACTTGAATACAATTACTTTAACATTTTTAATATCATTAAATTAATGCCAGGAGTATACTAATACTTAGACTGAAAACAAGCAAAAAGTTATGTTACAGTGTCAAGCTGCTAACCTGCATGCATAATACTAGTGTTGCTTTAGTTAACTATAACTAAAACTACAACCCTTTTAGTTATAGGTCAGATTAACTTGTAGTTAACTAACTAAATCTTTTAACTTTATTTTGAAACTATAACTAAGTAAAAGTACATAAAATTAAAACTTGGACAACACTAACATGCAGGTGTGTATGTGTGTATCATTGCATATGCACACAGACCATAATATAATTCAATGCATACATGTACATGTAGAACAATATAAAATCAAATCCGCCACCACACAATAGAATGCATTGCCAATCACATGTAGCTAGAATTACATTAAAAAAATTAACACACAATAATTGCATCAATAGCCCATGCCATATGACTAATTACCGTATAGTGGGAAATTTCGGGAGGAGTTAAATTTGGCAAATTGCCAAAATTTGGTGAATTAGTGGCCACAAGTGACATTGAACATGCGTAAAATAGATCAAAATAGCAGATTATATTTTGGCGAATGGCTATCAAAACGCCAAATTCACCAAAATTAATTCCCTCCAAAATTTCCCGCTATACAGTAATTCTTCTTTTACTGTATATGTTACTTTAAGCTTTGAAATCTCATGATTCTACAATGAAATAACAAAATAAATATACAATTGATACAATAGGATGCCAGAAAATAGTCTATAAATGTAGCTATAAAATACCATAACCAGAACAACTGTAACAAACAAAACGGTAATAATACCAATAACAATAGTACATGCTTTAATTAAATAGACTGAACAGCTACATCATCTCATAAATCAAGTCAAAGAGAAGATGGGTAGACTAGTAGAGTATATACTGTTACTTCTATCAGTTGTACTAGTAGTATCTACATTGACTGGATCTACTAACAATTACTACAATGGTAAGATACTGACTACTATACTAATGGATAATATACCTGTTTCAATTATATATACTATCAACAACAAGGACTTACTGGTAATAAAGGATTCACAGATTGTTGTAAGTTCAGTAATACACTATTGATTCATTTTATTAATTTTAAGCTGTTACTAAGAAATTTGTTGAATTGACTAATGCATCATTAACTCCTAATCCAGTGACTCGTGGAAAGGCGTATTATTTCCAAGGAACTTTTCATTTTAGTAAGTTACATATTCACTAATACTGTCAATCTTTCTTTAGAGAAAACGATACAATGGGGTATACTGCGTTTCACAATGACACATAATTTCAAGAATTATACTAATATTACTTTTGTCGATGAAAAATTAAATTTATGCGACTACCTTAATGATTTATTAAAGTTATATTGTCCAGTACCACCAGGAATATATCATATCAAATTGACTGATATAGTACCAAAGCTCTTTTGGCCAGTGAGTAACAAATACAGTGTATCATTATTACTATTCTGTTTCATAGGGTAGGTATTATGGCAAAGCTACTACGTACAATGAGGAAGGAGAGGAAATGATGTGTCAAAAAACAGAACTTACTATTAACTAAACTGCACGTATCTAATATGACTTACATGTAAATGCAACATTTTACATAATTATCATTAAATTACAATGCAATGCTAAAATAAATAGATTGAAAACAAGCAAAAGTTATGTTACAGTGTCAATAACCTATAATACACGTATTTACATATTTAGAATCTAAACTCGTTTGCTTGTGCCAATACTACAACTGTCCTCGAAGACAGAGGCCAATTATGAGAACATAAGACAATCAGCTGCTTTAACTTCCAGACTAGTAGAGTACATACTGTATAGCGGGTTTCTTCCGTTTGGTCAAACTTTCGTTCTTTTCGTTCTCCAAGCTCCAAATACAAAAATTAAACCAATGAAATTTGCTGTGGGAGAGCTCGATCCGGAGTTCATCTTCGTCGGGTTAATACTAACACATGCACACATGGGTGTTATGGGTGGGGTTGTTGGATGTGGCTTAATTCTTGCAGATCAGAAGGACAAAAATAAAACCCATGAAATTGGATTTCCTCCTAAAAAACGAAAGTTTGGCCAAACGAAAGAAACCCGCTATACGGTACTGTTACGTACTTCTATCAATTGTATTAGTACAGTAGTATCTACATTGACTGAAAATCAAACATTCATGACCAGTTGGAGTGTGATATGTTAAATCACTAAGCACAATCAAATAATAATACTAGTGTAATAAGAGCCAGTACATCATAATGAAAGGTAAACTCATCAAAGAAACTTTGAGTTAGCAAATAGACTAAAACAGAAGGTTACAGTGAGGCACCAGTAGCACAGTCGAAGAGAAGATGGGTAGACTAGTAGAGTATATACTGTTACTTCTATCAGTTGTACTAGTAGTATCTACATTGACTGGATCTACTAACAATTATTACAATGGTAAGATACTGACTACTATACTAATGGATAATATACTTGTTTTATATATACATACTGTCAACAACAAGAATCTACTGGAAATGAAGGATTCACAGATTGTTGTAAGTTCAGTAATACACTATTGATTTATTCTATTAATTTTAAGCTCTTACTAAGAAATTTGCCCAATTCTCTAATGTATCATTAACTTCATATACACTGAAAAGAGGAGATAGCATTCACTGGAATGCAGATCTACAAATTAGTAAGCAACAGCAACTGTGTCAATAAACATGAATCCATTTATAGAGAGGACTATAAAATGGGGTATACTGCATTTCACAATGACACACAAATTCAAGAATTATACTAATATTACTTTTCTTGATGATAAATTTAATTTATGTGATTTCTTTGTGGATTTAATCAATAAACACTGCCCAATACAACCAGGAATGTATCATTTAAATTACAGTGCCCAAATCCCCAACCTCTTATGGCCAGTGAGTAACAGATACAGTGCATATCATTATTACAATTTTATTTCACAGGGTAGGTATTATGCCAAAGGTACTGTGTACAATAAAAAAGGAGAGGAAATGATGTGTCAAATGACAGAATTAACCATCAATTAACTGTGATTTTAATTATCATCAATGACTTTACATTAGTGCAAGTATAATTTGAAGTTTTAATGTCTTTCTTAGCAATTTGCCAGAGTAATCATTAAAATTGTTAGAGGGCCTTAATACATTTGTTGCATCGTTTACAACAAATTGTTTAATATAGAAGCCAACAGGAACCATAAGACATTCACTATGCAAGAAGCTTACAAAATAAGTCTTGATTGACACTAAAAGCCAAATCAATGAATAGTGTAAATATAAAACAAAATTGTACACTGAAACACATAATTATACTAAATACTATACGAAGGCAATAAAATAGAAATAAAATAAGGAACGACTCAGAATAGTTTGTTGATAA